GTCGAGTCGGACCCGACTCATAGCGACCCCTCCTTGGGTTTCCGAGGCAGTATCACTATGGAAGTAGATTGCCCAACCTTCCTTCCGAGGAGTGGCTGGTAGGTTTGAACCGCCAGCCTTCTGATTAGCAGTCAAGTGCTTTAGCCACTATGCTACCAGAGCTCCTAAATATAAATATATATATATTGTGTTTTGGGTGAAAATTTACAGAGCAAATTCACTTTCCATATAGCTGTTCACATGCACTTTGTGTCATGACATTGACTACAATTTACCACAATGCAACAGCTCCCCTCCCACTTCCTCCCGACAGTTACCTTTTTCCTGTGTCCATCCTTTCATGCATTCCTGCCCCCTGAGCCATCTCCCTGTGCATAAAGAGCCCTTTTTTCTCCCATGATTATTCTCTCCAAGGAGTATATCTACCTCAGATAAATGTTCAACTCCTGTGCCTGTGTTTTGTTTGGCTGAGAGCCACAGGTGTGGGTTTAATTCAGAATTGAAGGGCAGCTAGGGGCAATAGTCTCAGTGGTTCCACCAGGCTCTATCAGACCAGCAAACCTGGTCCCATTTTTATTTTCCTTTCCTCCTCCAAATTATTTTTGAGTTTTGTTCCACATTGTTTTCCCTCTCTATCCAGGATCTCCTACACAGATCCCCCTCCGAATGGTTGACAGTGATAGCCAGGCACCATCTAGCTCTTCTGGTCTCATAGTCATAGAGGCTGCGGATCGATCGCATGGTGTACCAGTCGCTAGGACTAATTGTTTCCATGAATCTTTGGTTTTCTTCATTCTTCTTTGCTCTGTTCAAGGAGAGACCCATCATTGCCTCTAGATGGCTGTTTGCAAGCTTTTAAAATCCCAGGCCCAAGGCAGTAAATCTTTATGGAATCAGACTTCCATATCTTTTTCCCACAGATAGGCTGGTGGGTTTGAACTGCCAATCTTTTGGTTAGCAGCCAAGCACTTAAACCACTGCTCCAGCAAGTGTCCTTTATTATTAAGAAATGGCTGCATAAATACTAATTTTCCCTTAGGAAATTATACTAAAAATTCCTGCTCATGTTTATAATACAGCTATATTTTCAAATCCAATATTGATATTATACTATTTGAGATATTCTTGTGTCAAAGAAGCCCCAAGCTGTATATTTGTTATAATATATGTGGCCCAGTCATTGTGTTTTATGTTCTATATTTTTTAAATAAAATAAATATTGTCAAAAGTGTTTCAGTACTACTGCCATTTTAATGAAGTAAGTTTTAATGTAGTGAGTTAAGTTTAATAGAAAATGCTTTCCTATATTTTACCCCATTAAGTTATAAGAACATTGTGTCTAAGATGCAGTGCTATTTTGGGAATGAACATTGTAATTAACAATTTTTGTCATGTATTTTCTAGATTCTACTAACATATTGTGAACAGTTATCAAATACTTTTCATTTCCTTTGGGGCAATTTTAAGTAAATATAGATGAAATATTGGGAACATTTTCCTGATGTGTTGCTATAGGTACTTGTTTAAGTAACTCCATTACTTTTACTATTTTCATTTTTTACTAATTTCTTACCCTTAAATTCTTCTGGGCTTGCCCTATTTCCTTTTGGGCCATTATCATATGAGACGAGGCTAATTTGAGTGTCTGAAAGGGAAAGAAGACATGCTTAGATTTTATAATTATTTTGGCAAAATTCATTCAGTTTATCACGGGATCTTATTGACTTGAATGGAATTATAGTATATGTGAAAACAGCTAAATAGATTTGAGCTTAGTATCCAGAACACCTTTAAGAAATTCTGGCTAAAAGTATGTATTTTTTCCAAATTTTGTACTATTTTGTAAATGAAGACATATATTATGATGATTAAGATGAGACACTGTTTAGAAAAATTATTCAAATGCTTCTTCCAGTATGTTTTTTTCACAGTATTTGCAAACAATACATTTAATTTTTCAAAAGTAGAATGAGTAAAGTTCATTTATTACCAAAATAAAAATCTTTTAACATGCTCTTTTTGGTAGACAAATTTTCATTTTATTTATGACAATTTTGCATTATTATCAGGTTTTTTTTGGCACATGGTTATTAATTTAGTTGTGAGACTTCTTCAAATTAATTGTTTTATAAGCAAATCTATGTAAAAATGAACTTATTATATCATTCCACTGTTAATTTTCTATTTTAGTGTCCCAAATAGATAATCCAGGTTAGGAAAATAACAAAATTGATTTATATAATTAATTAATATTGGTGAGCTTGAATAATGAGATCTCAATTTGTAGAATAGAAATATTTTTAATATATCAATATTAAAACTAATTTATTATATAATTGAGTCGTTATGGAAACTCTTCACATCTTTACATTTTATCTGTTTGCTTCATTGCATTTTGATAAAATCTTCCACTCTAATTTTCTCCTAATAAATTATATTTGAATTTCTATCTTTTTTATTTTGTTTGCTTTGATATGTGAAGCTTGATGACACACATTTTTTCAGAATAAGTTTTTTCCCTTGTTAAACTATTTGTCTGTATCCCTCCCTACTGTTCACCTCAATTTTAATTTGTCTAGTATCAACTTGGCCATGATTATTTTATTTTGAGTTTCATTTCTGTGGAAAATAGTTGTCACTCATTTATTTATCTATTTTTATTGTGCTAATTAATATGTAGCAAGAATTTGCTATTTCAATATTTTTTTACATGTACAATTCATTGACATTATGTTCATCATGTTGTACAACCATCATCACTATCTGTTTCCAAATTTTCTTGTCACTCTTAACAGGAGCTCAATGCCCTCTGAGCAATAATTCTTTCTTTTCTCCTTCTCTCCACTTCTGGGAGCCACTAATAAACTTTATACATTTACCTGTTCTAGATATTTCATATAAATGAGATCACACAATATCTGTCATTTGTGACTTATTTATTACATTCAGCAAAATGTTTTTACCACTCATCCATGTTTAGCATGTATCAAGACTTCATTTCTCTTTATGCCTGAGTAATATTCCATAGAATGAATTACCACAACTCATCTATTGATGGGCCTTTGTATTATTTGCATCTTTTGGCTGTTGTGAATAATGCTACAATCACTCATTTATTTTTAGTTGTGTTGTATTATTTGATTTTAAGCATTTTTCCTATAAATAATATATTGGCAGTCTTTTTGATGGCTAAAGCTGTGTTAATTGGAACTCATGATATCAGAATCAAGTCCTCTCTCTGTCCAGGAATGCAGGCACAGTTCTGAAATAGAGGACTTCATGGTGCAGTGAGGGGACTGCCTGCCTGTATCTTAATTTTGCTTTTATATTCAATCTGAAAGTCACATTTTTTGAAAACAATTTGTAGTAATCATAACTTTCTTATTTTATCATTTTCCTGCAACCATTAATTTATATACTTTCTCCTTTTCTTTTTTCTATTTTTTGCCCCTTGACTTAGGCACAACTATCATTTTTGTGTTTTTATTTTTCTGTTGGTCAGTTTTTAATGATATGATTTTTCCACAGTATTAGCATTTAAAAACATAGAAATAGAAATCTTTTGCCAGTAAAAATAAAAAAAAACCTTCTAAATATGCACTTTAAATATAGGAGTTTCAATTAATTATGCTTAGGGATTGACTATGGTGCAATTATTTTTCACATCTATTCTATGCAATTACAACAAATGTTTCTTAAGTAGTAAATTCTAAAATATCATTTAAAGTTATAATTTCTCTATCTGTCATTATGATTAGAGGTTAACTTGAAATATAAGCTCCTAGTCTATCTCCATTTATAGTGGTAGTATATGTGATAGTGCTTTAAAATCAGAGGACCTTGACTTAAATTCCACTCTGCTTCTTATTATGTGTGTGGCATTAGATATTACTTAATAATTCTGAGTAAATATTTTATTATTTGTAAATGAAATTAATACTACCAGCATCACAAGATTTTTGAGAACATTAAGTAAGAGAATATGGAAAACACAATTGTTCATTGTCTGACAAATATATTTTAATTAATAGATCTTCTATTATCGTGGCTGTTATTGCACCAAGTCCTAACTTTTTTGTTAGATGGAGTGGAAGCCATATAAGATGGGGCCAGCCCTTCCGACTACGTCATGTGACAACAGGAAAATACTTGAGTCTCATGGAAGACAAAAACCTTCTGCTCATGGACAAAGAAAAAGCTGATATAAAATCGACTGCATTTACCTTCCGGTCTTCTAAGGTAAGACAGGAAATGTTATTTTGGATATCCTGTAAGTATATCACCGTCACATTTCCTTTAATGTCAAAAATGCAAAAAGAAATTATGTAAGCATGTTATTCATGTATTTCCAAATCCCCAATTTCTCTTTCGTCTCTTCCTCTGCAGTAAAACCCATTTCCTCAACCAGAAAAATATATGCAGGCGTTTCATCTTGTTCATAGTTCTGTGATTATTTGTATGTCACATAGCCATTCAGCTCCTTTCTGTTTTCTTAGGCATTGATAGGGCACATGGTTGCTACAGTCCTTGTACTCTTAAATGATTAAACATAAATAAACTCGTTGCCAGTGAGTTGATTCTGACTCATAGCAGCCCCATGTGTGGGAGAGTAGATATTCTATAGGGTTTTCAGTGACTGATTCTTCAGAAGTAGATCACTAGGCCTTTCTCCTGAATAGGTCTTTGAACTAATTCTTCCTGGTTCAGTAAAGGATGACAAAGTTAAACCAGTTGTTGTTGTGTGCCGTCGAGTCGGCCCTGACTCAAAGCGACCCCTTCTAGGGTTTCTGAGGCAGTATCACTATGGAAGTAGATTGCCCCATCTTCCTTCTGACCAGAGTGGACCTAAATTTGTAAAATGTAGGTGTACTGGAACAGAAACCACAATGGGAAAAATTATAGGTTGATGCCCTGCTAAAAGCTTATTTTCTTCCTTGGAAAATAGAGGCAGTATGTATGTTGCATAGACACCATATCTCATGACTGTAAGAGTAAGAAACAGCGTTGCCCTGCTAAAAGATGGTGGCTGACTGCACTGCCTTGAATGTGTGTCCCTCTCCACAGTCCTGGCAATAATCCAATCTCCTGCATCAGGATCCTTTAAGGGCTCACTACACCTCTTTCAGGTTTCCCATTCCAGGGATTAAATCCACAATTTTCCCATTCTAGTTATCATTATAAATGCTTTATTCAAATTTTAAAAAATTCAAGTCTGTTCTGATTTTGCTGCATTGGTCATTACTGAACTAGTTCAAACTTGTTTGAAGCACTGCTTCGGAAGCCCTTCTGGGTAGACTCAAATTCCCAGCCTTTCATTTAGTAGTCAAAGTTTTACCATTTGCACTACCCAGGGACTCTTTCAGCATATCACCATTTTTTTTTTCAAGTACATCTACATATACAATTATTTTGCAGACAATTTTTATCTATATTACATTGTTGGTAAGTTAAACCTCTAAGAGTCCTAAAGATCTTTAATGAGAATACCTCTGAACCAGACAATGAATAGAACAGTTAAAAATAAAGGTATGTCAAAGCCAGGAAGGAGTGCCAGTGCTTCAGCACTGCCCACTCAGTAGTACTGGTTGCCAGCTGACAAACCCTGCAGTGTAATGGATTATTATACAGAAAAGCAGCAAATATCCTGAATAGTTAAGTATCTCAAGAATAGTTGGAAATCGGGTTCTGGCAAGATGGTGGACTAGGCAGAAAGGCTGCACAGACCCTCTTCAACAAAAAAAAGGGAAACCAATTAACACAGACACAGAAGATAATCTTGGACCCCTGAGCCTTGAAGGGAAGGATATAGAAGTGGACTAAACCCCAACTAGCAGA